TTCCTTCCTTCCTTCCTTCCTTCCTTCCTTCCTTCCTTCCTTCCTTCTTTCCTCCCTCCCTCCCTCTCTCTTTCTCTTTCTTTCTTTTTCTTCTTTTTTATACAAAGCTAGAGTGGAAACTATAACATTGGACTAGGAATCAAGTGCTTTGTTTCCAGAGCAGTATTACTGTTACCAGTTGGACTACTGGTTGCTTAGTCTTTTGTTCTCTGAGTGTGTGTGTGTGTGTGTGTGTAGTGTGTGTACACATTATTATTATTGTTGTTGTTGTTGTTACTACTACTATTATGTGGTTGGTAGACCAGATAGCTTTTAAGGTCACCCCATCCAACCCACTCATTATTCCAATTGAAGATATTTACACATTCTCACTTATATAAAGTATATTGTCCTAATTCATGCTTTTCTTTAATGGTCAGCTCCAAGGCCTTCTGGATTTCCAAATTCAGTTTAGCTGGAGCTTTACCATCCATCATTTCTATAGCATCAAGTAACTTCACCCTACTAAGACAAAACCACCAACTTCGATATTTTCTGACTCTGCCTGTCATGCTTACAATACCCGGTTAACCAAAGCCCAGCAGAGGCCTCACACTTTTGCACTCTGTCCAATGATATAGTCATATTTGACCCTCTATGTAGCCACAATCTCTGGGAGATGCCCACTGTGAAATGCAAAGTGCCAAGTCCCTAAAAGTATGTCACCTTGTTCAGCTCTTCCAGTTGAGAGAGCACGCAGGACTCCTCAATGATCTTCCACCCGGAGGACTGGCACCTGACCGTGATATTTCCAGTGAAGCCACTGCTACAAGGTAGCCTGTATTCTTCATTCTCAGACCCAAATCCAAGGGAGATGCTGTTACACTGAGCTGGAAAATCACAAATACAGGGGTAAAGTTACTCCAGAGCATTCCAGCATCTGACAAAAAAAAAAAATCAGTGTTTAAGTGCTTCCAAAGGTATATAAGCAATTACTGCCTAGTATTAAGTGAAAACAGGCAAAGTGTAATCGCTTAAGAGAAAGCAGGGAAATGACTCAGAGGCTTCAGTCCCTGCCATGCAAGCATGAGTATTGGAGTAGAGATCCTCAGAACCCACGAGAGCCAAGTGGGCACAGTAGCCCACCTGCAATCCCACCAGCATTCAGGAGGCAGAACAGGAAATTCTCACATCAAGCTGGCTAGCCAATTTTTCTGGAAATGACGATCTCCAGATTCAGAAAGAGAGCCTGCCTTGACGTGTAAGATGGAAAGCAACTGAGGAAGACAACCGACCTCAACCTTCAGCTTCTGAATGTACAAATGCACACAAGCACACACACACACACACACACACACACACACACATTTGTGCCTATCACACAAACTCATGTGTGGGAGGGAGAAAATACTTGATAATCTTGAAGATGCTAAAGAGCAAAGAATAATAATGTGGTTGGAAGATGGGTGATTGTCACTGGGGCGTGATTCTTCCTGGCATGTACTTATCTCAAAGCTGCTTCCACTGCAATCACCAATGACCCTTAATAATATATTCTCCTGTAACTGGAACTAGTAGAGGGTATCACTGGAAGCCAGATCCTCAAGACCTGGAATTTTTATTTCCTCATTGTCCTGTTCTAAGTATCTAGACATATCAAATAGTATGTGAATGTTTGCTGGGTGATTTTTGTTGGCAGCCACTGACAGAGATTGTGACAGGAGATGCCTGAGGCTGAATTTAAAAAGTAAAATGAGATCACAACATTCATTGCTAACTGCAGACTTCCTGATTTGCATCTGATATTTGTTGTAGACCTACCCTCTCCATTACTCATCTTTTTCCATACCCTCTACCACCACTGGGGACCTCACATCATTTCTCAGCTTCTGTGAGATCAATAGATTCTTTTGGATTCTATACACGAATGAGATCATACAGTGTTGGTCTTTCTCTTTCTGGCTTATTTCGTTTAGCATAATGTCCTCTAGACTCATCCATAGTGCCACAGGTAACAAGAATTATCCTTTTCAGAGCTGAAGGTACTGCATATTTCAAAATAGCTCAGAAGAGGATGTTGACTATTTCTATTGCAAAGAAATCATGGATATTTGAGGTGAGAGGCATACTAATTACATCATTACATAATATCAGCAACTCTCAAAATAGTACATTTTAATCCCATAAATATGCATGTTTATGTGTTTAATTAAAAACTTTTAATATTAGGCATAAAGGTGAATCCATAATCCCAGGACTCAGAAAGATGGGGGTGTGGATTGAGGACTGGAAGCCAGTCTGGGCTACAAAGAGAAACTCTCTCTCAAAAAATGAAAAAGGAAGGAAGGAAGGAAGGAAGGAAGGAAGGAAGGAAGGAAGGAAGGAAGGAAGGAAGGAAGGAAGGAAAGAGAAGATTGGAGAGGACAGGAAAAGAGAAGAGAAGAGGCAAGATGAGAAGAGACAGAGAAGAGAAGAGAAGAGAAGAGAAGAGAAGAGAAGAGAAGAGAAGAGAAGAGAAGAGAAGAGAAGAGAAAAGAGAAGAGAAGAGAAGGGAAATCAACACCAACTTGACTCCAGTGTACCTGGAGGGGAGTCTAAATGAGGGCTTGTCTAGATTAGGATGGTGTGTGGGCAGGTCTGTGGTAGATTTCCTTAACTGGGTTGGTTAACCAAGGTAGGAAGACCCACCCTGAATGTGGGTGCTGTCGTCTCATGGACTGGATCCTGATCTTTGACAGTGAACATGAGTAGCTGTTTCAACTTCCTGCTGCCTGACTTCCCACAAAGATGGACTGCAACCTGGAATCATGGAGCAAATAGACCCTCTCTCCCCTAAGTTGTTCTGATCAGGGTGCTTCACCTCACTCACCAAGACGTAAATAACTAAGGTGGTGTGCACATTTCTGCCTTGTATGGTGATTTAAAACTACTGTCAGCTCCAAGGCTTTCCAGTGTGTGTACCAGTAAAGCATGACTGAGTCACTTCCATCACAGCCTGTAGTGAGGCCAGAGTTCCAGAACGTTTACCTGAGATGCTCAGATCTCCAATTAGTAATTAGAGTCAGCTGGGATTGAGTTTGAATGGTGGTGAAGGGAAAGCTGCCAGTTACTACCGGAAGTAGGTTTTGGAACAATTCTCTTAGAAATAGGTACCTGCAATCTACTTTCTGAGGACACCATGCATGACTGATGAGCGATTGAAGCAAAGACGGGAGCATTACCTTTCCCGAACACTCTGAAAGAGCCTTCTTTGATTGTAAACTGCCTTGCCAGGGCTGCCTGGGCCTTTTCAGCCTCCTGTTCAATGGCAGACAGGAGCTCAGCTGTGCTAACGGAGCCGGTCACTTCATAGCCAACAGCAATGCTTCCTTCTCTGCAGTGAGAATACAGGAAGAAAGCAGAGATTCACTGTCTCCTCATTTAGTCTCTCAGGACAAGTCTGTAAAGGCACGGCATGGAGTCTATAGGAAAAAACAAGATCTGCTTTCATGGACCTGAGAAGGAAGCAACTCACACACACACACACACACACACACACACATCTTCATACACGTAAATGCATACGCACATTTGTGTCCATGCATGCGTACATTCATATTCATTTGCATGCACACACACGCCCATATGCATCGTTGCACACATGTACACACACGTATTTCTAAATGTTAAGTGTCGTAAAGGCGGAAGTAAGTGCCTCACATTGTATGTGGCTGTGTGGAGAAGTTTTCTCTGAAAACCATCCCTGCTTGTATAACATGCCCGTATAACAATGTCTTAGTTAGGGCTACCATTACTGTGGTAAGCCACCATGACCAAAAGCAACTTGGGAAAGAGAGGGTTTCCTTTTGTTTACCCTTCCAAGTAAAAAGTCCATCACTGAGGAAACTCCGTCTGTCAGGGCAGGAACTCAAATGGGGCAGGAACCTAGAGGCAGGAACTGAAGCTGAAGCCACAGAAGAATGGGACCTACTGGCTTGTTCCCCATGGCTTGCTTGGCCTACCTCCTTATAACACCCAGAACCACCTGCCTAGGGATGGCACCTCCCACAGTGGTCTGGGTCCCACATCAAGTGTTAATTTTAAAAATGCACTATAGGCTTGTGTACAGGCAAATCCTATGGGGACATTTTTCTCAATTAAAAGTTGTAAAACTAGCCAGTGTAGACAACAAAAGAAGGACCAGTGATAACAAGCATATTAGATAGCATGCAAGAATCTATAAAAGTTCTGGGACAGCCAGAGAGTTTGACAAAATGAAAGACCAGAGTGACTAGACTAGTTCAGTAAGGGAGAGAAAAAGGCAGGAAGTAATGCAGAGGAAGTAATCCAGGGAAACAAGCTGAAAGAGGGCAAAGAAGAAGCAGGAAGATGAGCTAAGAAAGAGGTGGTTTGGCTTGAACCAGTTGGATAACTGTTTATGTGGGAATATTTCGGTGGAGGTTATATTCAATGGACTTGCTGAGAGAGCAGCTTCGGGATGTAAAAGAAAGAAACCAGTTAAGAATAACTGCACAGAATGGGAACAATATTAGTGTATTTACACAGTGGAATCTACTGGGCAATAAAAGGATGGAACAGCTGCTGAGAAAAACAGGAATAAACTGCATGTACTTTGTGCTAAGTGATAGAGGCCAGGTAATAATAATAGTAATAATAATAATAATATCAACCTTCCATTTATATGATATTCTTGAGCAGGTTAAACCAGCCTAGGGAAGTAGAAATCAGATCCAGTGGCTGCTTCTGGTGGAGAGTGTGGAGGTAGCCATAGAGATCAGCTGGAAAGGAACTGGAGGAACAGGAAGTCCTGGAGCCGCTCTGTCTGCTATGTGCAGTTGGTCAGATCTGACGGAACTGAACCCTCAGAACTGAGCATCTGTGTCCAGTATGATGTGTTTCTTACACCTCAGAAAGTAACTGAGAGCAGAGTATGGCTCACGGTTTGAGTCCAGCAACTGGAAGAACGGGTGAGAAGAAGGTGGAGAAGGTGGCTGGCCGGGAGTGGGCAGGCTGAGGGAGTGGTGAAGGACATGTGTTAGACATGCTCGCTGGAGGAGTAAGCAGAAATGTCAGGTTGGTGGCTTATATTCAGAGTTCAGGGGAGAGATCTCGCTCTGGTGACACTGTTGGAAAATGCAGGTTCACTGATGGTGTCTGAAGGCAGCAAATATGAGAAACACATGTTGACACCAGAGCTGTGTTACCCTTACAGGATCTCACTCTACAGGCCAGGCTGGCCTGCAATTCACTATGAAACTCGGGCTGGCTTGGAACTTGCAGCAATCCTCCTGCCTCCATTCCCTAAGTGCCAAGACTCCAGTGGTGAGCCACCATGCCCAGCTACCCTGTCTTAGTGTTATATTTTTCTTTCATTAAACGGCTAGTTCCAAATATCTTAAGATAAAGCATGAAATAAAAAATTAAAATGCTTATCGTTTTTTGCTACCTATACCAGTGTGTTGGTGGGAGGGGTACCTACACATGAGTGCAGGTGCCAGGGAGGCCACACCCTGGGGGGTGGAGTTCCATGTGGCTGTGAACCACCTGAGATGGGTGCTGGGTACCAAGCTCAAGTTCTCCAGAAGATCAGGATGTATTCTTTACAGCTGAGCCATCTCTCCAGCTGAGCCATCTCTCCAGCCCCACCTCCTCCCAACCCCCAGCCGCCCACATTGAATGGGGAGATGTAAAGGGAGAGAAAAGTACAATCAGGATATAAGTATGAGAATACAATCTACATCCAATTAAAAAAAAAGAGTTGAGACACAAAGAGAAGCCAGGTTAGGAAATTAGTAGCTGATGAGAACTTCTGGAGCTCCCAAGTACAACTCTTGATGGTTTTGCCTTGATCTGATCTGGCCCACCCTGTACCAATTGCCAACTGTTTTCCCACCTATTGTCTGGTTTTTTTGTTTGTTTGTTTGTTTTTGTTTTGTTTTGTTTTTTTTTTTTTTGAGACAAGGTCTCCCTGTGTCACCCAAGCTAACCTTGAATTCGCTTTGTACTCTAAGTCAGTCATGAAATAACGGCAATCCTCCTGCCTCCACCTCAAAAGGATTGCAAGCATGCACCATCATGCCTGGCTGGCTTTTTCATTTTTTTTCTGAATGTAAAAAATGTTGGAACTGGATCTCAGTTTCATCTAGTAGTTCACTGATAACAAAGGCAAGAAAAGAAAAGAAAAAGAATAGAAAAGAAAAAAAAACAGAAAATGATCCATTATACAGATTCAAAGTAAGAAAAGGGAAGCAGTGCTCTTCTAAAGAAAACTACTCCTGTGGGAATTTTTAAATGACTTCATGAAACAAGAACACATTTATAGCAAGTGTGGTTGAAAATTCCCCATGACTAGTTTGAAGTCAACCTTGGAAAAAACAATGAGTCAAGTTCTTTGCCCTCTAAGCTGCTTCCTCCGGCAAGTAGACTGCAAGCAGCTGACCATCAATGCAGACATGCTCAATGCCACACCACTTCGAATTGAATCGTAAACAAAAGGCTAATTTACTAAATATCTCCTTATTTGCTGTCGACAATGACTTCTGAGTTTTGAACCACAGCCTATACTTGATACCTGCCCAGGGGGATAATCTATACACGGTTCCCATCCAAATTACACTCCAAATTACACAACACCTTGTCTGCTGTGGTAGACAGTGTTCACCTCTCTACACCCACATCCCCCACGCCACCCCTCACCCCTTCCTGAACCTGGACACCGTGGTTTTCCCCTTCCTCTCAAGCTCCTTATGCCCACTTGTTTACAATTCTCTTTAAGTGTGTGTGTGTTCTTCTGTGCATGAGTGTATGTGTGTAGTCGTGTGCACATTCATGTGTGTGCTTGCATGTGAAGGCCAGAAAATAACCTCAAGTGTCATCAGGAATGCCGTCTCTGGCACAGGGGTCTCTTCTGAGACTGATACCCCAACCAAGGACCATGCATGGAGATAACCTAGAACCCCTGCACAGATGTAGCCCATGGCAGCTCAGTCTCCAAGTGGGTTCCATAGTAATGGGAAGAGGGACTGCCTCTGACATAATCTGATTGGCCTGCTCTTTGATCACCTCCCTCTAATCGGGGAGCAGCCTTACCAGGCCACACAGGAAGACAGTGCAGCTACTCCTGAGGAGACCTGATAGGCTAGGATCAGAAGGAAGGAGAGGAAGACCTCCCCTATCAGTGGACTTGGAGAGGGGCATGTGTGGAGAAGAGGGAGGGAGGGTGGGATTGGAAGGGAAGGAGAGGGGAGCCACAGGGGGATACAAAGTGAATGAAGTGTAATTAATAAAAATTAAAATAAAAAATGGGAAAAAATTTTTAAAAAGAAAATAAATAAATTCTGTTCTGACATTAAAAAAAAAAAGAAATTAGGTAGAAATTCAATCAAAAAAAAAAAAGAAATGCCATCTACTTCTTTTGGGACAAGATCTCTCACTTCCCTGGATCTCATTAATTAGGTGAGTCTTGCTGGCCAGTAAACCCCAGGGATACCCTCTCTCTACCTTCCAGCACTGGGATTATGTACGTGCCCTACCATGCCAGGCATTATTCTGTGGGTTCTGGAGTCAGACTTCAGACCTCAAGATTGCAAGGTATACACTTACTGATTATGCTATCTCTCTAGCATTGACTTTAGAATTCTGTCAAGACCTGCAGGAATAGTGCTGGCCATTCGCCGGACCAGTGCTGAAGGCTAGAGCTGCCCTTCCAAGACCGGATGTGACTTACCGAAACTGGGTGACCTGAACTGACTCAAAACCATGGATTCCTCTGTATGCTTCTTTAAGCTTAGAGAGAAAACAAAGGACAGTGATTCAGTCTTTGTCCTCACACATCAAAAAGTCATCGGAGCAAAATACAGACGCAAACAATAAATAAATCGGTAACAGATGAGCAAAGGAACAAGGGACCATGGGAAGAAGTTATATGTCATAACAAATACAGTTAAAATAACAATTGGCAGTACACGCACACTGTTTATGTTTGAGGGTGCAAGAAGGCATGAATGATCAGAACCTGGCTCCGTGCTCAGATAGCTCTGTCAGTAAAGTGATTGCCACTGATGCAAGGAGTTGTGTTCTAGCTTCCTAGCACTCATGTAAGTGGGTGCTTACATCATTAACCACAGTGTTGAGAGGCAGTGACAGGCAAATCCTGGAGCTTGCTGGTCAACCCATCTACCAAGTTGGTGAGTCCAATGGGAGACCTTGTCTCAAAATAATAACAAGGTGTAGACATCTTTTTAACTAGAAAGTGCTTGCTAGCTACGTCTAGCCTTCACACGTGCACACAGAGAGAGGGGGTGGTAATGGTGGAATAATAAACATTTTAGGATGGGGGGCTAGGATACTAAACAATACAATAAATGTACCCAGATCTGTGTTCTGGTCCTCAACGTAGGCCCAGTGACTGGTCTGTTCTTACGTGACTTTGTCTTGAGGTCAACGTACCCAGGTCTATGTTCCTCAACACAGGCATACTGACTGGGCTTGTTCTTACATGACTTTGCTGTGAAGTCAAGTTTGTTCAGTAACTCTCGTGAGCTTCTAAGAGTTGCTCCTTTTCGGAACAAATTAAGATGCTGACAATTGAGCTTAAATCATGGTGTTTATTACGTGTAACTAAAAACCATAAAACAGCCTAGAATCCTTAGCATGGTATTCAAACAAGTAAGCAAAACCAAATGGAAGACAACTGAGAGGTCAACTGAAAACAGCTCAGGAAAATGCTCAAGGAATGTCAACTGAGGACAGAGCAAATAGCGGCTCTGTAGGAATGCAACAGAAGGAAGAAATTAAAAATGTATAAGGACCGAAGAGTTTGCTCAGTAGTTAAGAGCATGCTCCCAACATCCATGTTGAGTGACTCACAGCCAGGGGATCTGATGGCCTCTTCTGGGCTCTGTGGGCACATGCTCTTATACATGCATGTAGTTACACACACACAGACACATACTCACACACATAATTTAAAATTACATATATCTACAAAAATATGTTATGAAGAAGCTAGCCAGAGTAATAGTTCAATCAGTAAAGCATTTGTCTTGAACAAAGACTCAAGTTTGGGCCCCAAGACCCACATTAAAAAAAAAAATCTGGATGTGATTTTTGTCTATGATCTCAGCGCTGGGGAGGGGGAAAGAGGCAGATTATACTGAGTTACTAGCCAGCCAGCCCAGCTGAATTGGTGAGCCCTGGGCCAAAGAAATCCCTGTCTAAAAGGAAAATAAAAATAAAAAGGGCGGGAGGGGGTTAGAGGGAAAAAAGAAAACACAACATTTGAGTCTGTTTTTCTCTGTCCCCCACATATACACACAGCAACCACGTGGGTACCCCCTTATAGACCTATATGCACACGTATAAAATATGTACTTAATGCATGTTCTAAACTGAAAAGCATCTGCACGTGTGGTTAGAGGGAAGTTCCTTACATAGTAATCTGTACTCACCTGATTTTCAATCTCAGTTCTGTAGTTGGCGTATACAGCAGACGATGAGTTCCAAAGGTCTCTGGGAAATTGTTTATCAATTTCAAAAGTGCCCCAAACCTCTATGAGAAATAGGGGCAGAAAGTTTTTAGATAAAATAAATTTACTTCTTGATTTTGTCAGAAGCATGCAGTTATGAAAGTACAATTCTGAAACCTTGGCATTTCTGTTTATCTTCATAAAATATATTCATTTAAAATAATAAAGGAAAGAAAGAGAAGAGTTTTCAGTGGTAAAAACAGTCATGAAATCCATCATGACAAGTCACTCAAACACTGTGTGTGTGGGATGAGTGTGTGTGTGTGTGTGTGTGTGTGTGTGTGTGTGCATGTGTGTGTGAACATGGAGATGGGATGTCTGATATCTTTCTCAACTATTCTCTACCGTATTTTTTGAGACTGAGTCTCTCACTGGAACCTGAAACTCAGCAGTTCAGATAAATTAGCTGAGAGCCCATAGATCCTGAACCTTGGCTTCCCCAGCTTTGAGAGCACAGGCATGAGCCACTGTGGCCAGCTAACACCATCTACACTCAGGTCTTTAAGCCTGCACACCAAGCACTGTGTTGACCGAGACCTCTCCCCAGCCACAGCAGAATTTTAAAGCACTGTTTGCTAACTCTTAAAAGCCCTGGGCTTCCTAGCTCGGGGCTAGTGTTTATCTTCATGGGGTTGGTCTCTCTGTCGACAACTCCTGAGCATTATTCATTCCAGACCTAATCATTAGCTGTTCTGGATATCCTACTCTGGTCCCCATATGGAAAATTCTTTCTACTTCTGTTTTCCAGCCCTGCTTTCTCCACCTGCCTATACCTGTCTCACCAGTACTGTGGGAAGCCGCTCCTGAGCACAGTGCTTGGCTGAGTCTTCTTTCTATTTCTTGTAGATGTCTCAGAAATAGACCTTCTTCCAAAATGTGGACTTTCATTGTCATATGTTGAAGAAATTTCCTTCTTTTCTTTCTTATATTACAACCTAGCCTCTCCCACTAGCCTGATAATTCACATATAGCAAGACAAATGCTTTGTGGCCTCTCTGAGGGTTTCCTCTGGAACTGAACACGAAGATGATCTTTATAGATACGTGATTACTATCATGTGAACTGCTGTGGTCCTGGGAAGGTGAACCAGGTATGCCCAATTAACGTCCTCCCTCAATCTTCCCTCAGATCTAAAACCCAGAGCTACAAGATCACTAGAGTAGACTTTGAGGAGGTTTTCTTCCTCGTCCTCCTTCGCCTCCTCCTCCTTCGCCTCCTCCTCCTCCTCCTCTTCATTCTTCTTCCTTCTTTGCAAACAGTGTCTCAAACTATAGCCTAGACAGTCCTGGAACTCACTATGTAGCCCAAGCTGGCCTCAAACTCAGAGCAATCCTCTTGCCTCTGTCTCCTGAGTGTTAGAGCTACAGGCATGAGCTACTACACTCAGCTAGGAGAAGTTGTCTTAAAGCCCATTGAGGTCTGGAGTCCAAGTCAGTAGACTTATCTCATCCCTCAAAAAACAGAAACTTAAGTGAACAGTGGTTTCTTAAGCCCCTGGTTTCTTAGGTTATATACGGTGTGTGTGTGTGTGTGTGTGTGTGTGTGTGTGTGTGTGTGTGTGTG